TTGAAGACATGTAGCTAATTGATTCATGCTAAATTGATGTAGGTTTTGATGGTTGCAAAGACACTCCAGTTGAGGTACTCCATGTCTTCCTGCTTGGTGTAGTGAAGTACATGACCCAGGACTTCATGAAGGGATTGAAGGTGTATCAAATATCTGAACTGATTGTGAGGTGGGAAGCCTTCAACACGGATGCCCTCAACCACCCTTCAATCAGCCCTTCTTACGTGGTCAAACACTATAAAAGCCTCATTGGAAAGGACTTCAAGATCATCCTCCAGGCTGCCCCTTTTGTCTTTTTTGACTTCATGAGCACAGCTCAAAAAGGCCACTGGTTTTCACTCTGTATCCTATCCACATACATCTTCCAATCCAACATTGCTGACATGGCCACACACTTGGCTGATCTCCGCAAGTACATAGATATATTTCTATTTCACACCATCCAACAGTCGGCAAGATGGGTCAACAAACCCAAATTCCACATGTTATTGCACTTGCCTGAGTCCGTGGAGCGCTTTGGGCCTGCAGGATTGTTTGCCACAGAACAATTTGAAAGCTTCAACAAGATATTGCGGTTGGCGTCAATTCACTCAAACAGACACAATCCAGGGAGGGATATCTCAATCAGCTTTGCCGACTTTGAATGTTTGCGATCCATTTTCTCTGGAGGGCGCTTGATCAATCACAGATCTGGACAGACCTTCTTTGCCAGTCCTAATGTGACCAACATCTTCAGGGACAACAGCCTCATTCGGAGGTCCATGGGGTATAATGATAACATGGTAGCTGATTCCCATGTCTATCCAATGGAGATGATCACTCCAGTCCCCCAAGAGGAGAAAGAATCCCCCCCACATTACCTACAGGAACATTTGGCTGGATATCACTTTACTCAGGTCCATCAGCTGCACATCAATTCAAAGGATGTTTGCAAGAAGGGATACTTTGTGGTTGTAAGTCTAAAATTCCCAGAGGACCCAATTCCCTCTGATTCCTGATCACTAACTCTTGGTGACTATCTGAAAGATTTTCCCCAGGAACAAATCCCCAAAATTCATTGGGCGCGTGGAATCTATATGGAAGGGACAATTCCAAAACCGCAAGACTTTATACGTCAAAATCACACGATTTCAAGTTAAATCCATCCACCAGTTCTACAACATGACTGCACTTGTAAATGAGAAGACCATTGAGTTTTATTTGGCCTCAGTAGGTTCCTCATCTCCTCTCCCTTAGATTATCCACCAACCTCATTGCCCACTGAAACCCAAATTTTCACCTTTGTTTCCAATTCTCCAGGAGGTTGCTGGATGTCTCAATGTGCAACATGATTGCCATCTTGGGAAATGTATGCCAGACAAAAACCATAAAAGGAAATTTGGCCCAGAGGAAGCAGCCCCATCTAAGGAAGCTGTTAAACATCAAGATGACAATTCTTACATAATCAATTCTGCTTCATTGCACTCCATTCCTCTGCGTCAACAATTCTCCAATATGACCCGCCCCCCAATAACCCCAAAGGCCTGGACAAAGTGTGTTCAGGATGGGCTCAAGAATTGGGTTGAGCCTTCTAAAGGCAAGGCCAAGACCCCAAAGGCCTCACAAGTAGCATCCACTTCACAAATGATGTTAGATTAGTGACATCATCAGATTTTGAGCTTTGACAGCCATCTTTTTCTCCAATCTTTCCTGCTCTATTTCAGATCTTATAGCCCATTAACCTGCTCTGGAGTGTGTAACAGTAGCTGACCCATGTTTTGACAGATTAAATAGACACTCTCCATTCCCATCACAATTTGTACTACTATCACCACACCCATGCTGTGAACACTGACACACTTGTTTCCTCGATTGACTTGTTATCTGATTGATGTATTACTTAGTTTCTCTTGACTTCAGTCTCCTCCCATTGACACTCAATCCAGAAATATTGACATGGAATATGCCTCTGCACCTCAAATAAAAGCTCCCAGAATTTCATTGGACAGTTTCTGAGAAAAATACAACTTGGCAAGCAGGATGATGTAAGATTCTGCAAATCATTTTTAGGTGAAAAAAGAGCGGAGAGATCAGTGTTATACATTAGGTAATGGATGGTACTGTAGGACTAAGTCTTGGTTTAGTGCGGGGTGCTATTATAGAACAATGTGAAATAAGAATCAACATATTCTTCTTCTTGCTGATTCTCACGCCGAAACTCTTCCTCATGTGCATCTCTCAATTTTTTATCCTCTTGAGAAATGTCTTGAAGAAGCTCATTCAATCTTATTCGTACTTGCGCATGACTGATGTTCAAATCGGCCCGCTCCCGTTCTCGACGAAGGACCGAAGAGGCCACGCGTGCTTGCAAATCCATCCGAGCCACATGGATTAATAAATATGCACATTCCGCCACATCTATCGGGGGCTTTTGTGGAGGTTGGCCAAGTAAAGGGGCCACGTTGACCAATCGCGGATGTTCAATATCCTGTTTCATCTTCAAGAACAACTGAAAGAATAGTGTGAGCTGCTGGATCCAATTTGGCGGGTGGGTGTATTCAACTGACCGTAGATGACATCCCTCTTCTTTGAATGCGCTGTTCAACCGCGTCGCCCAAGTCCAAGGTCTCCAAAGTGAGTCGCTCTGCCACTTTCTACCAAAAGTGGGAGTCTCGTCAGTGCAGAAACATTCACCAAGTCTGCATCAGGTTCCGCTTACCATCCATCGACCTATCAATTTTTGGTACTCAGACCTGAGTTCATGAATATGAATGGATCGAAGCCGAGGGAATGCGGCGGCCGTCTCCAGGTATGCTTTGATGTATTGGTGCATGAGGTCTTGGGTTCCGGGTCCGCCCGCTTCCGCCATTACGTGAGCATGTTTGTCGCTCCATTGACGCACCAATCCAACCAGGTCGACATGCAAGTCTTCTTCCCACCTGAACTCGACTGTTTCGACTGAGGTAAGCCGGTGTCGAGTGTGAGGGGCCTCCAATGGACCGGGACGCCCATGGTTTGATCGGGGAGAAGTGTCCGCACGGGCACGTTTGTGAGTCGCCACATCTTCTTTGTCTTCCGGTGAGCTGCTTGAGGCAAGTTGATGCAAGTTTTCCGATTGTTCGACTGCGGAGCCCATCTTTCTGGACGGATTCGATTCGGATGTGACTGGTGGGTTCGCCACAGAAATTCTGACGAAGTTGAAGGACTGCCGTGTCCAACCGGTGAAGCCCCCCCCCCAAAAAAAGCCCATTGAGACTTATGTCAGTGATTTCATAATTTGGATTGATTGTGGTTCATTTCATACACATCAATCCAATGTCCAAGCGGTCTTCAGATGGCTTAAGCATGTTTTTTGAAGTCCGCACAACTGCGAGTCACGTGTGGCATTTTTCTGCTTGG